AAAAAAAAAAAAAAAAAGAAAAATGCTTTAAAATACAGTACTTTCACAAACTTGAAATTATGATAAATTCTTGGTTATCTGAAGTAATGGAATAAAGAGAGGAATAGATTTGACTTTGAAATGATTCCAACGTGAGTTTTAATGATGTCTGTTAGTCCGTATAATAATTTCTGTGCTTTCCTGCCTCAGTTCTCTCATTGACAAAGTGAGTTACAGTAATTGATAGTTTTCATTTTAAAATTTTCTGGTAGGCACATTTTAAAAAGTACAAACACATGGACAAAATGTAATAATTTTACTTAACCTAATTTCCTTAGAATATTTTAAATATGTAGTCAGGTTTTGAAAATTACTAATGAGTTATTGTACATTATTTTTATCATACTAAATCTTCAAACTCTGGGGTGTTTTACACTTAAAGTACATGTCATTTGGACCAGCTCTGTTTGAAGTACACAGCGACTAAACATGGCTAGTGCCTGTTGTATTGGGCACCACCTCCATCTGTCTTATCCAGGGGAATCCTAGATTTTTTTGAAATACGGTGTAGCAGCAATGGTGATTCCTCAGAAATCCCCGTACTTCTAATCAGGTGGCATATTTGCCCAATGCCAGTTGACCACTTTCCCATAGCACCCTCTTTGAAACTTCTTTTGCATCACTTTCCAGACTCTTACCAGAAGACGAGATTAAAAGCAGAGCCATATCTTTTCTAGAAACTATATCTCCTATCTGAATTATACCTTTACTGGACAGCAGAGTAGTTATTTTAGGGTGTTTTGTTTTGTTTTTAGACAGTATTGCTGTTTTAAGATAGTATTGGTGGCTTGGCACCTGTAGCTCAAACGGCTAAGGCGCCAGCCACATAAACCAGAGCTGGCAGGTTTGAATCCAGCCCAGGCCCACCAAATAGTAATGGCAGCTACAACCAAAATATGGCCAGGCATCAGCTAGTTGGGAGGCTGAGGCAAGAGAATCACTTGAGCCCAGGAGTTTGAGGTTGCTGTGAGCTGTGATGTCATGGCACTTTATCCAGGGGGACAGCTTGAGGCTCTGTCTCCCCCCAAAAAAGATAGTATTGCTCTGTCATGTAGGCTGGAGTGCAGTGGCATCTTTGTAGCTCACTGCAACCTCAAACTTGTGGGCTCATGCAATCCTCCTGCCCCAGCCTCACAAGTAGGACCACAGGCGTGTACCACTACGCTGGAGAATTTTTCTATTTTTAGTGGAGATGAGAGACTCACTCTTGCTCAGGCTGGTGTCAGACCCCTGGCCTCCTACTTTGGTCTCCTGGAGTGCTAGGATTATACCGTGAGCTACTGCACCCAGCCTGTTTTAGTTTGAAAAAGGATTCTAGCCAGGCTATAATCCTAGCACTCTGAGAGGCCAAGGCAGGTGGACTGCTTGAGCTCAGGAGTTCAAGACCAGCCTCAGCATGAGTGAGACCCCCATCTCTAATAAATAGGCAGGTGTTGTGGCAGGTGCCTGTGGTCTCAGTTACTTGGGAGGCTGAGGGAAGTAATTCTCTTGAGCCCAGGAGTTTGAGGTTGCTGTGAGCTATGACTCCACAGCCCTCCTATCCAGGGTGACAAATTTACCAAAGCTGGTCTTCAAGAAGTAGAATTGAGACTCTGGAAACAAAAATAAACCTCACTCTGTATTTCATAACATTCTTAAAATTTTATTTAGGTAAAAATACTTTCAGCAGTGATTTTTATTTTCTGTATTGCTTGTGTTTCTCTCATATTTTAGGATATTTTAGATGAAATGAGAAAAGAATTAACAAAGCTAAAAGAAGAGCTCCTTGATGGTAAGTGCACAAACTTGCTACCCCTTAAAATACTATTTAACAATAGGCATTGTGGACAGCGCCTGTGGCTCAGTGAGCAGGGCGCCAGCCCCATATACCAAGAGTGGTGGGTTCAAACCCGGCCCCAGCCAAACTGCAACAAGAAAATAGCCAGGCGTTGCGGTGGGTACCTGTAGTCCCAGCTACTCAGGAGGCTGAGGCAAGAGAATTGCCTAAGCCCGCTGCGAGTTGTGACATCACAGCACTCTACCGAGGGTGACAAAGTGAGACTCTGTCTCTTAAAAGGGGGGGGGGAATATAAATAAATATACATGTATAGAAATCATTACTATCTTTGTAATACTAAAAGAACTATGCAATGAAAGGTGCAGAATTAATATATTTTTTAATTCTGTGAATTTGAATATAATCTTTAACATTAAGAATGAGAACCACTCGTTTTTTAGTTTGTCATTGTGTTTACTCTGAATACTTTCTCTTTTCTACGCAGCAATCAGGCAGGAGCTGAGCAAGTCAAATACAGCATAGAGAAACAAACAAAGGAGAGATAGGACTTTAATCTGGAGGAAAAAAAAATCCTACAAACAACTGTTAACAGCAACCCCCTACATTTTATGAACAGTAAGAAGAAAATGGAGACAAACAGAAGGAGGGAAAAACCAACACACTCTGAAAGCCTTCAAATACTGTGACTCTGGCGATAAGCTATTTCCCTCTCAGTTTGCTGCTTTTTTTTTTCTGATCTTTACAACAGAATGGAAGAGTATTGCGTAAGAGTTCCTGTAACAGTTACGCAGAAAATACTAAACTCATCAGGCAAGATCACCGTGCATTGAGATATTTTCATGTCAAGATAAAATTGCACATTTTCCACAATCCATTGCTAAAATAAAGAGGAGAAAGGCTTAAGAAGTTTCTTTTTCAGAGAGTACTGATGCGAGTGTAGCAAGCTATGCTATCGTATTGTAAATGTTTCTCTCAGGTTTGTCTTCCTATCATATTTGATATTCCATGAATAATTGAGATCAGCCGTCTGTAGGTAAAGATCATAAAATGTGGAACAAATGGAATTGTAAGTGCTTTCAGAGGTTGATATTTATAAGAAAGTGTCCTAAAAATGTTTTGTCCAGCTTGAGGAATTTTAGAATGATAGGAAGTCTCTCGAGTTAGCCTTCATGCAATTTTGTAGATTAAAACACAAAATTTGTCCAGAATTTAAAGATTTAGATGCCTTCCTAAATTGTTACAATGCTTTACCAAATCTATGACTTCTACATAACACAAACCAGTGGTCAAATGTAAAACAATATATTGTAGATTTACTGTAGGTTTTCAACCTTTTTTAGATTTATGCATGTGGACATTTTTATAATGTAATTACAATCACCACAAAGTTAGCTTTTTTAATCGCAGACAGTAATGCATGTCACACTAATACGTAGTGGCCTTTTTAAGGCCTAGTCCCAGGGAAAACGTTTTGTAGAGTACAGGGGAATGGGAGGAAGGGAAGGAATAATTTTTTATTTAAAGTCAATTTCTGCACTGTCTTTTTTCTCAATTACCTGCATGAATAATAATGAGGAATATTTTGTGACTTTAATTGGTAAATATATTACAAAACCAAGTACTTAATCTTTTACATCATGTCTTCAGCTATTTGTATTTTAACCAGTAATTTCAATGATCTGAAACATGATTCTGAGCTTCACACGAATTATATCTTCCTGTGAAACTCGAAAGTTTGATCACTGAATTTGAAAGTTACTGTTACCTCGTAGGTGCCCCTGCAGTTACACAGATGTTTCCATACATGTTCCTGACTAAGAAGCTGCTTTTGATTTTTGTTATGTTGAAATACAAGAAATAACAATGATGGCAGCAATTAAGGTCACAGAAGTCAATATATAAAGGGAAATCGAGGAGTTCTGCAGTTTCCTTTTAATAAATAAAGCGACAGGTGTTGGGAAGAAGGAATTCAATATTCTGCCCCCACCACCCTGTACGTGCCATCGCTGTGTAATCCACTCCCCTTCTTTGAAACTGATGAGACTAAAATAGGGAAGAAATCCTATCAGTTGCAGTGGTAGCATTTTGGAAAATTTAGGAAATCAAAAATTCTCCAGGCTCTCCATCTTGATTTATGCGTGAGTTGTTTTATGTGCCATATTTGCTTTGGAATCTTTGATTGTCAGAAGTTTTACTAAAATTTTGAAGAAATAATTGACTTTCATCTGCTTTCTAGATTTCCCATTCAGTTCATGAAACAAAGCTTGTCGACAGCACAATTTCCTCATTGCTGCAGATCTGCAGCCATCACCACTACAGAGAAGTTTGAGGGAGTTTTTTCCTTGTTAAAATAGTTCCTGTTTTTATATAAATTTCATTTTTAGATTAAGTTATGATGGATGAGCTATCATAATTCCAATATACAGTTCTTTTCTGTGTCAAGTATTCATTGTCATGCAGTAGTGATAAAGACATCAAAGATGCAGCGAGCTTATAAAGTACTATTTTCTAAAAGAAATAGGAGGCATTTTCATCTTTATTATTGTACCTTTGGTTATGCAGACACTTTGACAATATAAACATTTATGTCCCCTGTAAAACTGGTCAGAAATCTCTTAGTTTTGTTGGGTAAATTGAGTAGTCTATAGCAGGTAGTACTGGGTACAAGTGGTCCAAACTAAGATAAAAGACTAAAATAAAATGCTAAATCTTAAACTGGTTTATGCACTAAACGTTTTGTGCCTTGGTCTAATATTAACATGATGTCTGTGTAAAATGACAAAAAAGAACCAGGTTGAATCACGCCTGATTTTCCATCCTTTGGCTAAATGTGTTCTTCCCACAAAGTTAGATCGGATTATTCTATACATTTGTGGTCATACATGACAGTTGTGTCATTGTTAGAGATTTCAGTAATTAAAATGAGAAACAAAAGCTTAAGTTATTTTCTTTATCGAAACTATGTTCCTCAGAACCACATTTATTATGATGGTTTTTGTGCTCTTGTACATCGGATGTCTTAAGCTGAGTACAGTTTAGGGATCCTTGTGAATTACAGGAAGGTTCTGCTTTCCTCAACACTGTGATCTGACCTGTGACAAATCTGTACTATACACTATGTAAATGGCTAACAAGTCAATTGCAAACAAACTGAATGTATAAATCTTAGTGCTGGTGCTGAAATCTCTTCTGAATAGTCGTCATGATTTAAAAGTTGGTTTAAAAATTTGCAGGCATCAAGTATCAATCAAAACTGAAGATGAAACACTAATGAATGTTGAATTCTCATGCATTCATTAGGCGTACTTCCTTTCTAGATTTTTCAGTTCTATGCTATTTTTGCCGTAACTATTTTCATTTAAATTTTATTTCACTTAAATTTCATACACGCTAACTTCATTTGTGTGATTGAAATAAAATGGCAGTATATATATATGTTGCTCGTTTGTGACACTCAGACACTCTTGTGAAGTTTGTCAGCTCTAAAATAAGTCATGATGTTGGATGTGAAACACCTTTTAAAGTCCAAGACTTCACTGAAGTTTACATATCACATCACTATTCTTTAAAGATTTTATAAAAGTCATGAACACTCAGTAATGTATACAAAGGGAATATGTGGTAACGGACCTGCTTTGTGTTTGAAATAACTGTTATCCCTATTTGTTTTTATTTTTTTTGCACCTACCTGGCCACAGTGTCGTCGTCTTTATACTCAAGATGATGATAAATGTTTGATTTTACTCATTTTGCTCTACAACGTGGTCAAATACTTAAATTCATTTACGCAGTAAAAATTTTCCTTTATGTAGTTTGCAGGGTAAAGGTCTTTACCAAGTATTGAATTTCAAATATAGTAAGTTCTCTGTCTATAGTGTTTTTATGTTACACTGATTTCTTAAAATCTACGTATAAGCGGCAGTACTTTTTATCTTTTATAAAGTATTAATTTTGAATTCATTTTATAATTCTAATGCCCTCATTAGAAATACAGTAATGCTTTATTTTTTTCCTTTACTGGACCCAGATTCTCCCCGTGGACTTTTTTCTCTCTGCTTCTTGTGGACCGGGTGTTCCTGTCATTCATTAACATCTGCAGCCATTACAGAGGCCACAGTTTTGAAAATACCAGCTGATTTTTTTGCTTTTCGTGTCTCAGGTTTTGCTTCTTTTTATATTTAAATTAGAATGTCCAAAAACTAATTTCCTATTCAAAAATTAAATAAATACCGTGTTCCTTTTAAGTTTGGTTTGCTACAACTTTTATGTTTCTTAAATTTATGTAGATTTTGAGTGCCATTGTGAAGAATTGGCCTTTAAACTCTACATCGTGTATCCAGTGAAGCACAGTTTTACAAAGCTGTGCTACAGGATCTCTTTGATTCCTTTTCCTAGCCTTTTATTAATGGGGTTATAAAGCTGTAATGGCTACAAAATGGCATTAAGAATAACCCCATTATCATTTAAGCTCTTTATTATAGTTATAAAAATAACATCATATAAGGCAAAACTGTGTGAAGGAGGTCCCTAGGAGCTCTTAATTCCTGTGTTACCTATTATGAAATGGACTTTCCTGAAAACATTTACTCCGTATTCACTTCCAAACTCCAAACCTGTTTCTGGTAGTACCATTTTTGTTTGTAATAGGAAGATGAATTAGTGTCTGTACATCTCTCCAAAGCTGTTAAGGAATAAGGAGAAAAGGATCCTAAGAGAATATTGAAATTACTAATGTTTAATACCTCTGACATTTCACTGAAAGCCATTTAATTAGATGCCTTTGAAGTCAAAACTTGATGTACAAGTATTTATAAGGAATCTTCTTGACCCTGAGTACATGAAATTATTTTAGGTGTCTTTGGCTGCATAAAGATATAGTGGAGAACGTTTACTTGTAAGAACAGTTTCCTTCAGAGTATGTGCTGGTTTGATTGACTAAGCAGCTATAGTTAGTAACCCCTCAAGAAAGACCACTTACATAAGCCAGTTAGAAAGCTTGTGGTGTATGTTTACTCTATGTCCAGCATCAAAAGAAGTTGTGGATTATTAGGTTTGATCCCTTTATGTTGACTCCAGATAATTTTTGAGACGCCAAGAAATTTAATTTTTATTTTTAATTTTTTTTTAGACAGAGTCTCAAAATGGGTAGAGTGCTGTGCCGTCACAGCTCGTTAGTGATTCTCTTGCGTCAGCCTCCCAAGTAGCTGGGGCTACAGGTGCCCACCACAATGCCCGGCTGTTTTTTTGTTGCAGTTGTCCTAGTTTTAGCTAACTTAGGCGGAGTTCAAACCCGCCAACTTTGGTGTATGTGGCCAGTGCCCTACCCACTAAACTATGGGCACCGCCAGAGATTTTATTTTTATATCTGTTAACTACTAGAAAGATGAAATGTTCAAATCTAAAAAACGTGTAAAATTGGTAAAATGAATGTAGTAAAGTTAGGATGGTTATGGGTATTTAGCATCAACATACATTTTTAATGGAATTTTTTATGGTCGAGTCACGTAAGAGAAAAAGTCACTCTCTTTTGGTCAGGAGATAACAGTTGAAAATGCCACCATATGAACTAATTTATCTGTCTTTCTAAATGGTTCTCTTTATGAAGTACTAAATCTTTGTGAAAGTGTCAGTAAATAACTTGCTGTTAATGACTTAGGGTTTTTGAGAATCACATTGCTGGCTCGGCACGTATGGCTCAGGTGGCTAAGGTACCCAGCCACATACACTTGAGCTGGCAGGTTCAAATCCAGCCTGGGCCAGCTAAACAACAATGATGGCTGCAACCAAAAAATAGCCAGGCGTTATGGTGAGTGCCTGTATCCAAGCTACTTGGGAGGCTGAGGCAGGAGAATCGCTCGAGCCCAGGAGTTGGAGGTTGCTATGAGCTGTGATGCCACGGTATTCTACCCAGGGTGACAGCTTGAGGCTCTGTCTCAAAAAATAAAAAAGAATCACATTGCTTATTTCCTTTTTTTTTTTTTTTTTTTTTTTTTGAGACAGTCTCAGGAAGTCACTCTTGGTAGAGTGCTGTGACGTTACAGCTCACAGCAACCTCCAACTCTTAGGCTAAAGTGATTCTCTTGTCTCAGCTTCCCACGTAGCTGGGATTACAGGCACCTGCCACAATGCCCCACAATTTTTTGTTTTTTTTTTTTCTTTTTTTGCAGTTTTTGGCTGGGGCTGGGTTTGAACCTGCCACCTCCGGCATATAGGGCTGGCACCCTACTCCTTTGAGCCACAGGTGCCGCCCTATTTTTTTTTTTTTTGGTTATAGTTGTCATTGTTATTTGACAGGCCCAGGCTAGGTTTGAACTCACCAGCTCCAGTGTATGTGGCTAGTGCTCTAGCTGCTGAGCTATAGGCGCCAGGCTTCATATCACTTACTTCTATTGAAATCTGAAGGAATTGTATATAAAGATCGAGAAAGGGGAAAATTACTTTTTGGTGATTATAGATGGTCTCTATTGCATAAACTGTTCTAAACTGGAGTACTAATATTTAGGACACATTGTAGGCCTTGAATACTTGCTGATTAACAAACAGAACATCATTTATTCTAAAGGATCATGGTTACTGAGCTGCATAGTTCTACGAAGCATATTAAATACAGTTATTTAACAGTATAGAAAAGCCTCTAGAGATCCTAGTACAGAACCGCAGGATTCCTAGGCAGAGAGAGAAAATTTAGGGGCCCAGGTCAGTGGCTGAGAGTGAAGAAAAGATGCCATCTGAATAGGACTCTTCTTTGATTGCACCTAATTAGGGTCCAATTCCTAGTGGTTAGAAAATTCAAATGTACCAGTGAACTGGTCACTGGATTTGGTCTTTTCTCAACAAATAGTTTCAAGAGAGTAAAGCTTTCCATTTTAATAAAAGTTATTAGAAAAGTTTATGTAGTTCATTAGAGAACCAAGTCTAAAAAAGACATTTACTCCATAAACACAAGACAAATGACAGCCTTGTAGTTTATCATGTTGTAAATCTGATTTACCTGTTTTACTTCAATTCCCAGAAAGATTCCTCCAGCAGATAATGAAATTCTGAAAATAACAAAAAGATCACTAATATAGGAACTGGATAATGGTATGCGTTTAGTGGTTTTTTTGTAAGTGGTTATCCTAAGAAGACTTAGAATAGAAAATCATGCAGTTGGTACTTTGGATGACACAGCAACCAGCACTCTAAAGAAAAGGAAGCTACATTGATAGTATTAAATGATAATTCTCCCAGCTCAGCACCTGTGGCTCAAGCGGCTAAGGTGCCAGCCACATACATCTGAGCTGGGGGGTTCAAATCCAGCCCGGGACCACCGAACAATAATGATGGCTGCAACCAAAAAATGGCCAGGCATTGTGGCAGGCGCCTGCAGCCCCAGACACTTGGGAGGCAGAGGCGGGAGAATCGCTTGAGCCCAGGAGTTAGAAGTTGCTGTGAGCTGTGATGCTACAGCACTTTACCCAGGGCAAAAGCTTAAAGCTCTGTCTCAAAAAAAAAAATCTCCCATCATGTCCAAATGTTTCCACTCTAACCTATAGAAACTGAGGAAATTGGTTCTTAGCTTAAACTTGAAAAATACACTACTGTAACCATACAAAAAAGATAACATTGGCTGGGTGCAGCGGCTCATGCCTGGAACTTTGGGAGGCCAAGGCAAGAGGCTCACTTGAGGCAAGGAGTTTGAAACCAGTCTAAGCAAGGGGAAGACCTCATCTCTTAAAAAAAATTAGTCGGCCACAATGGTGGGCACCTGTAGTCCCAGAAACTCTGGAGGCTGAGACCAGAGATCACTTCAGGCCTGGGATTTGAGGTGACAGTAAGCTATCATGCCATGATGACACCACTGCACTCCAGAGCAAGATCCTGTCTCAAAAAGCCATAGAAAACATTTTAAAATTTGGTCCCTACCCTAAAGCACATTTTTGCCCTCAATCACATCTGTAGAAGCTATTTTTTTCCCCTTAAGTTTAAAGGCATTTAAAAACTATTCTTCTACTTCTTTTAGATGAGAAATATGTATCAGTATAAGCTTATTCCTACGACATGGCATTAGATGTTTTGAATGTTGAGTTTTCTTAGACCCATGTATTCTAAAGTTTGAGATTCATCTTGGTGGACTAACTTAATATTGTAATCCTAAATTCTGTCTGATTGCTGTAAACTGCAAGGCCATCCCAGTGCAAGTACGAGACCATACGAGTGAAAGGAGTGATGGATTTGTGTAGAGCTGAGCAAGTTGCTTGAGAGCTGGCATTAGGCAATGACTTTACTACTAAAATTTCCAGGGAGAGGAGTAGTTTATCTCTGAGAAAAAAAATTGGGGAGGTTTATATATTTAGAAGAAAGCGCTATTTAAATCAGGTTATTTTCTTTCTACTTATTTATTACTAAGGGAATGGGAGTTTGTAGCCTGAAGGAGGAATATACAATTTTTGT